GAGTTTCTGGTGATGCCATTTGGTTTGACCAATGCTCCAGCAACTTTCATGGACTTGATAAACCTCGTATTCAGTGACCATCTTGATCAGTTTGTTGTGGTTTTTGTTGATGACATTCTTGTATACTTAGCTTCGATGGAGGAACTTGAGTATCATTTGAGAACAGTATTGCAAATCCTTAGGGATAATTAATTGTACGCTAAGTTTGAGAATTACGAATTTTGGATACTAAAAGTGAAGTTCCTTGGACATGTTGTGTCAAGGGGCGGTGTTGCAGTGGATCCGTTGAAAATTGAGTCGGTGATGGATTGGGAGCGTCCGAAGACAGTGTTTGAGATTCAGAGTTTCCTTGGCTTAGCTGGCTACTACCGGAGATGTGTTCGGGATTTCTCTCATTTAGCGGCACCTATGACTCAACTTACCCACAAGGGGGTCAAGTTCGTATGGAACGAGGCATGTGAGTTTTCTTTTCAAGAGTTGAAGGTTAGGTTGACATTGGCTCCAGTTTTAATCATTCCTGAACGTGGTTTAGGTTATGCGATCTTTTGTGATGCTTCACTTGAAGGTTTGGGTTGCGTCTTGATGTAGACAGAGCTAGTGGTTGCTTATGGGTCTCGACAGTTGAAGACTCATGAGTTGAACTATCCAACGCATGATTTGGAGTCAGCAGTAGTTATCTTTGCCCTGAAGAGGTGGAGACACTATTTGTACGGGGAGAAGTTTGAGGTTTTCTCCAATCACAAGAGTCTCAAGTATCTCTTCTCTCGGAAGGATTTGAACTTAAGACAGCGCAGATGGGTTAAGTTCATGGAGGACTATGACTTTGAGTTACAGTACCATCCGGGTAAGGCCAATGTAGTGGCCCATGCATTGAGTAGGAAGTCACGGGGAACTCTTGCTAGCATTTCTGTTCATAGATGGAAGATGCTATAAAAGCTTGCAGATCTTAGTTTACAGTCTTATGAGGATGTTTCACCGGCTATTTTGTTTACCCTTGTGGCTCAACCGGCTCTTGTTAGCAGAGTTATTGAGGCACAGTTAGAGGATGGAGAGATGAAGGCCATCCATGTTCGAATTTCAGGCGTCGAGAATGTAGAGGGTTGGACCTTACATTCAGACGGTGGTCTCAGGTACAAGGGGATGATGTTCGTTCCTTTGTCTTGTCGTGAAGACGTTCTTTGGGATTTTCACCACTCTCGGTTCGCAGTTCATCCTTGTGGTACAAAGATGTATCACAGTATACAGCGACAGTTTTGGTGGTGGGGCATGAAACGGGATGTTTCACAGTTTGTGGCTTGATGTCTTACTTGTCAACAAGTAAAGGTAGAGCATCAACGACCGGAAGGATTGTTGCAACCATTACCAGTAGCTGAGTGGAAATGGGAGCATATCACTGTGGATTTTGTAACGGGACTTCTGAGGTCTCAGGCAGGGAATGATGCCGTTTGGGTCATAGTTGACAGGTTGACTAAGACGACACACTTCTTGCCCATGGCAGTGATAGATAGTGTAGAGAGACTGAATGGACTGTATGTGAGGCAGATTGTGAGGCTTCATGAAGTTCCTGTATCCGATGTTTCGGATAGGGATCCGTGGTTCACGTCTCACTTTTGGCAAAGTTTTTAAGAGGCTCTTGATATGGGGCTTCATTTTAGCACGATATTCCATCCTCAGACTGATGGTCAGTCGGAGCGTACCATTCAGATATTGGAGGATATGTTACGGGTTTGCATCTTGGATTTCGGGGGCAGTTGGGAAGACTACTTGCCTTTGGTTGAATTTTCCTACAACAACAGTTACCAGACCAGTATTGGCATGGCACCATTTGAGGCGTTGTATGGCAGACCTTGCAGATCTCCAATTTGTTGGACCGACGTCGGTGAAACTGTTGCCCTGGTCCTGGCATTGTCATTGAGACTACAGAGAAAATTAAGTTGATTCGGCAGCGGTTGGCTACTGCACAGAGCAAACAGAAGAGTTACGTTGATAAGAGGAGACGATCATTGTCTTTTGAGGTAGGGGACCATGTTTTTCTTAAGATTTCTCCTTGTAAGGGGCTTCTGAGATTTCGACAAACTGGAAAGTTGTATCCTAGGTTCATTGGACCATTTGAGATTTTGAAGCGCATCGGTGAGGTTGCTTATCGTTTGGCGTTACCGCCAAACATGGATAGGGTTCACGACGTCTTTTCTGTCTCTATGCTAAGGAAGTATGAGCCAGATCCATCACATGTTTTGCGGTGGACTAATGTGGTTATTGATGAGGACGTGACCTACGAGGAAGGTTCGGTCCAGATTCTTGATTCACGGGAGCAGGTCTTGCGGACCAAGACCATCCCATTAGTTAAGGTCTTGTGGAGACACCACGGCATTGAGGAGGGTACCTGGGAGCTCGAACAGGAGGTTCGCTCTCAGCATTCCCATTTGTTCTCTCTTTCAGGTACAACTCAATTTCGGGGACGAAATCCTTTTAAAGAGGGTCGGTTGTAATTATCTGGTCATTTTCCTTCCTTCCTTTTTTTATTTTTTTTCCCTATTTCGTCTTTTTCTTGTTTATCGTTTTTCATTGCATAACCTTACTTTTTATGCTCGGATTTGATTTCGGCCTTGCATGCATCCATGATATTTAATTTCATGATATCTACATTTTTACTTTTGTAGAAAAACATGCTAGATGTTTACTTTTCTTGTAAAGGGCATGGATACATAACTTCTTAAACATATTCTTGACTTTTGGAGTTTTGTGTAATTATGTAAAGTAATTATTTTTCGTCTTAGGGACCAATTAGCAATTTAATTTGGAAGATATTTTGGAAATGGATCTTTTGTAATTTTTGGAAAGTGTGACAAGTGTCACACTCCCATGGAGCCACTTGTTGGCATTGTGGTGGAACCACTTGGATGCTTAGTTTGATGACACATGGAGGGTGGAGATTCACCCATTTGTTGGCCTAGGATAGGAGCACTTGTTGGCATGGATGGTTGACAAGTGTAAGTTTAATATCAAGCCTTGGATGATTACTTAAGATGGTGACAAGTTTAGGTACCATATTTTGTCTTGCATTTGTGTGCATGCGTTTGTAACACTAGAAGATAATGTCCACAATAGTGCCACTATATTCTCCCTAGGAAAAAAAAAAATTTATCAAATTTTTTAAAAAGAAATTCAATCACAAAACTTTCCGGGATGAGAAGTTTTTAACATTGTCATTGTTGTAGGCGTTAAGAGAGTTGATGCTTTCAATGAAAGTTTAACCTACAACCACCACCAAAGGCTTTTTCCAACCATCTTGGGTCAGCTACATGACTCCTATGTTTCCATCCGCTCTATCCAAGGCCATGACCACAGTCAAGTCACATGTTATCATATCATTTCTTACTAACTCTACCCACGGTAGCTTTGTTCTTTCCTCTTCCCTAGTATTATCCCCAACGTAGCCACAGAAAAGTTGAACCTCTTTATTATTTTTTTGTAATTTTTTTCCCTGTAAGAATCAAATATTCTAGCATAAAACTTAAACTCTCTTTCATTTCATGATTTCTATGAAATTATCACTACATATATAAGCAGGATTCAGAAATGTTAAAGCTCCATGTATTCTTGTCACAACATTGTTTCAACATTGTCTTGTAGCGTCCTTTACCTTTTCCATTGCTTCATCCCTATCAATTAAAAGAAGAACTCTAACCAAGGGCTCAAGAGCTTGAACCACTTCTTTCCCAAAACTTAAAAATTCAGTGTTTTGAATATCATTAGTAACATTTTTTGCAAATTTCATTTTTATTATAATCCAATCCTCTATTTAGAAGATGCCACAAATAATCATAGTCCATCTTCTAACTCCAAAACAGAGAACTTACACATGTACCAATTCTTATATGTGTGTGTGTGTGTATATATATATATATATATATATATATATATATATTTATTTATTTATTTATTTCTTAATTGTCAACATGTTCAAACCTCTAATATTACAAAAATGTACTTGCCACAGAAGAATCATAGCCCATGGATATAACTCATAACATGACCAATAGAACTACTCAACCTATGCAAGATTTATCTAGAACACTAGCCTATATCCAAAACAGTAGCACAACATTGGTTGAGCGTCAATCCCTGAGTATGCTTTCCCATAAAAAAAAAAAAATGTCCACAATAGTCCTACCATATGCCTAGGAAAACAAAACAAAACAATTAATATAGATATTAAAAAATAATCAAAATTTTAAAAATATTATAAATAAAATTCGAATACAAAACTTACCAGATGAAATGTTTTCAACATTGTCACTGTTGTAAGGGTTTGATACTTTCACACGATAAAGTTGAATCTCTCTAATAAAATTTCTTTTTCTTCTATAAGGATCGAAATTTTTAGCATAAAACTTAATACTTTTTTCATTTCACAATTTTCTCTGGAATTCTCATTAAATATGTACTATTCAGAAGATGCCACAAGTAAACATAGTTCATCTTCCAACTCCAAAATAGAGAATTTACACATGTACTTTTTTCTGTGTGTGTGTGGGTGTGTGTGTGCTCGTGTGTGTTCGAACCTCTAAATTTATAAAATTGACTTGCCATAGATGAATCATAGTCCTTGGGTATGAGTCATTCAGTTATTATTTTAACCAAAGAAATAAGGTTCAACAATGGGATAGGTTGCAAAAGCCGAAGCTCATAACATGACCAATAGAACTACAGAACCTTTTGATTTGCCAGATTTACCAAGAACACTTGAATATTTTTAACCCTGGAGGAACACTAGCACAAAATTCTAAGGCGATAAAGAATGAAAGCAGATGAATTAGTTGAGTGCCAATCCTGAAGTATGCAACCCCCAGAGAACATATCAGACCATATAGATAAGTAATATCCAAATCCTGTCCTAGAGTCCATCTATGAAGTCACCCTAATCTCAATTGACACTATTGCATGATATGGTCCCATGAGCCTATAGTATTCAATTGTTTTGGCATACAATTATGTCAATAATGAACCCACAACCCAAAGCATTAATATGGGGTCCTTTGCAAGCTAAGAGATTGGAATCAGATATTGTGTCAGTGCAATGAGTAAACCAAAACAATTTGAAGGAAAGTGAAGATGCAACAAAAATATTTGATGGATTCGAAAGGGTTCGTAATGAGATGGTTATAAGATTAAGTTTATTAACAACAAGTAATTAAGAGGGAAAGTAAGGACAGCATACGCTCACTATATAATGCGTAAACAAGAAAGGAAAGTGAAGTTGATGAGGTACCATTCTTGAAACATCCTGACAGACAAAGGCAGAGATGATAAGCACACAGTTCTTGGTAAATTTCAAAGCTTGGAAACTCGTATCTCTTTGGGGCCATTGAACCACCATTCCCATATGCTTCAGCAGCAATCAGTTTCATACAAATCCCTCCGGCATTCTTCTTAAGTTCCCCAACATCACCCAACTCAGGTTCTCTTTTTCGTACTTCTCATGGAACAACAATTTCGCCCCTAAAACATGAAGAAGACACACTGATGCAAGCATCAATAAGCCATACATACAGCACACTGCAAGGCTAACAAATATGAATCTTCCACCTAACATAAGAGAACCCAATAGTGATCACAGAAACTTATTGAGCATCTCCAAAACTGACTGATCCAATCCACTATTACTTGATAAATCCAACAAAAGGCTCACAGTACCTAAATTGGCAGAGAACCCCTTCTCAACCATTTCTTGAAGAAGTTGCATTGCCATTAGCGTCTCATTCTTTCGAAGAAATCCCTGCACAATTATATTATAGGTGCAACCATCTGGTGAGCAACCACTCCCTTCCATTTTCTTAAGCAACATGTTTGCTTCGCTTAACAATCCTTCCTTACAGAGTCCATTGATCATAATACTATATGTGAAAACATTAGGTTGGAACCTTTTGGAAGGAAAACTATAAAAGAGTTCCCTTGCATCTTTAATGCATCCAGCTCTGCACAAACCATCAATGAGGATGTTGTAAACCACAATATCAGGATGCAGTCCACATTCTTCCTTGTCTTGAAACAAGGTCATTGCCTCAGCCAGACATTGGTTCTTACACAATCCATCTAACAAAGTACAATATGTTATAACATTAGGATGTTGGCCACGGGCTTGCATCTCATTTAGAAGTCATTGTGCAACTAGAGGTTTTCCTGCATGGCAAAAACCACCTATAAGAGTATTGTAAGTAACAGCATCAGGAATCAACCCCATCCGGAAAATTTCCTGAAAAAGTCTGAGAGCGTCATCCATTCTTTGCTTCTTACAATATCCATTAATCAAGATGTTATAGCTTTGAATATCAGGGGCACAACCCCTACCAACAATCAAATCAAATATCTTCTTTGCCTCATGAAATTTGCTTTGTAAACAATAACCGTTCATCAGTGCATTGTAAGTGACTGTATTAGGCTCCTCACCTCTTTCAATCATCACTTCAACTATTTCTACTGCTTCTGCAACCTTCCCTTCCTTACAAATTGCATCCACCAATATATTGAAGGTTCTTACATTCGGTTTTATTTTTTGGTTCACCATTTCATTTAACAAATTTGTAGCCTCTTTCCACTGGTTTGAATTGCATAGGCCAAGGATTAAGGAGTTGTAAGTAATAACATCTGGAGAAATGCCTTTATGTATCATTTCTGAAAAGAAGTCAAAGGCCTCAGCTACCAATCTGTCCTTACAAAGACTGTCAATGATCATGATATAGACAATCACATTGGTTTCCCAATTTCTCTCTTCCAACTTCTTAACCAACTCAATAGCTGCGCTGGTGTTCCCTGTTTTGCACAACCCATTTATAATCGTGCCGCAAGTAACTGTATTATGTCGAAATCCTTTTGCCCCCATGTCATTAAACAACTCTACTGCCTGACCTATTTTTTCCTCAAAACAGAGTCCCCTCATCAAAGTGTTGATCATCACACTGTTCACTTCATAACCAAGCTTCAAAGTTTTCCCTAGAACAGAGAAACCCAAATCGACCCGATTCAAATGGCAGTAACAATTCATTGAGATGGCAGAGTATACTCGTTCGGCTCTACCATTATTGAGGATTCCATTTGCTTAAGCAAAGAAATAGCAGTGGTGTAATGTTTCATTCCCACAATGGCCCCTAAAAATTGATTAAAATGCACAATTGAAGGAAGAGGTCGCACTTGAGACATTTGATCAAACATTGCGAGTGCATCATTAAGGTTAGTGAACTCAAATCTGCGTTGATTTCTGACAGGCTTCGTAAAGTGAGGTTTTTTTATCATTAACAGTTTGGGAATGAAACGAAGCCCTTAAGTTGTTGCAAGCAAATTGATAATCAATGAAGAAATTAACACAATGCTTAAGAGAAGTTGCAGACTTACCGATACCTTTATGAAGAGAGAGAGCACCACCGTATCTACACTTTGAAGAGGCAATAACACTTCTTTTAATCATCTTTCAGCCCTCTCTTTCTCTCTTCTAGATATATATATATACGCAGAGTCACCCACACATATATGTCTGTGTATATATATATATAAAAAGTCACCTGCAGGTTGTTGGCTATTTTTATTATTCTGACATGTTTCAGCATCTAATGTGTGAGATTCCATTTGCAATACGAGCAAGGCGAATGTTTAAGCAATATTATATTTGTATAAGAATGTACATGACCTTGGGCCCAAGCAGCCCAACAACAGACGGCCTAAAGATTATGCAAACAACAGCAAGGCCCAAGCCATGAACCCAAAACATTGAACCCAAACCCAAACCCCAAGTAGAACGGTTACTCCTAGCAATTAGAAACAGTCGTTGATAACTGCTCAGTAGCAGTTAGCGATGAATGTCAATTCTCTCACTCCGGTGACGAAGAGGAGATGCTGATGACCTTGATCACCCCCACAATCGGTCCAGTGGTTAGGGGCAGTGAAAAATAAAATAAAAAAACAACTTATATTCATTAGAAGTTATTACATGGTCGGGATCATTGATCCGATGACCAGTTCTGAGTCAATCACAAAATGACATAAGCAAATGAGTTAATTTTATGTCATTGTAAATAAGATTTATTTATTTATTTATTTATTTTTTTTTCGCTTCGTGATTGGCCAAGATCTATAGTCTCAAGACCATATAATAGGTTCTCTATATATCAACGGTGTAACTCTTTTATGCGAGAAATTATTAGTCCACTACGTGTCAAATGAACTATCGTAAATACACGTAAATCAATTAATATTTGTCAAGAGAGTGTGACTAAACTCTAGAGTCAATCAATACAAGCATTTACCATATATGGATATAAACATGCAAACTATAAAAATTAGATATCTAATCCATTAATAAAATATGTCGAATATATTATGTTATTGGCTTAAAGGGACCAAATATGCATCACAAGTAAATATCCTACCAAAGTTGTTCTTTATCAACATCCTCGTCTTATTCCAATAGAGTCCACGTTCCTTTCTATTACCTTTTAATAATTAAATTTCCTTTCTCACCTCACAGAATATCTCCGAGTCTCTTATTTTTTCATTAATGAATGCCAAACCTAGTTTTTCGCATGAACTTTCATTTGCAACTGCATCTCCATCCAAGTTATGACATGGCAAAAGCATGTGTAATTCTTTTTTTCTTTTTTAAAGTGGTAGATAAACATTTGAGTCAAGATCAATGTCGAACTAGTGTTGGCTGTTTAGTTGGTATGTAGTGAATAGGATTAGGTGTTAAGGATTAGATAAGAATTTCTGATTGCAGGAAGCAATTTTGGTCGAGGAGGAGAAGCAATTAAATAAGTCCACGTTCACGGACATTACCCAATGACCTAATTGGTAGAGCACTCAGTTTCCAAATAAATGTGCCTATATTTGAGTCCCCCTCCCCCTGGTTTGCCAAGGAAAATAATAATAATAAGTCCACATTCCACCACAACATCTAATCAAATAAGAGAAGGGAATGAGTAGAGACCAGGAAAAGTGTATGTTGCTACAATTGACGAATTTTCTGCTTAAAGTGAATAGAGGATACCATCCACAAACTACAAAACAAAACACAAACCACTCATGTTCTCATGCCACACAAGCTGCAACATGTCATGCTAACTTGCTATAACATCTAAGCTGCAAAATTTACGAAGGCAATGTTAACAAAGGCGATGACTAGATGCACTCCTATTGCCCCCAGGGCCCCAAGTAGGCCAACATTTGGAGCTCCATCCCTGAATGATTGCAAACTAGATCCTTTGCGACACGGAGAACATCCTGATCAATCTATAAACACGAAGAAAACAAGAGCATTAATACTAATATTATTGATGTTAACATGCTCAAAGGACAATAATTTAAAGCCTAAAACTATGCATCCAAGCAAAATTAGATGCTTCTTTATTGGATAATTTCCATTCTGCATCTTTATATTTCTAAAAAGATAGCAATTGAAAAAGCAGTCACCTTATATGACCAATAAAATATGCAGAAATGGCAAGTGCACAATGTACTTGCAAAGGTATCATATCTGTGTCTTTCGATAGCCATATACCACATCTCAGATTCAAATCAAAACTGAATCATCAATGATTTTATTCTGAATTTTATGCTGCAAAAAGTAAATGATTTTCAATGGTGAAAATTATTATCAGAGAAATACAAAGTCCACAATTGACATTTAATAGAATAGTTAACTTTTCTAAAATTGTGCTTCTTAGCCTTCTTATTTAGGCAGGTCTTTTTATGAACTCGTACCCCCTGTTGTAAATTTATCAAAACATTCTTTTCTCCTCCATCACGAAAATTTACCAACTTCACTCCCTCCATAATTAATGACAATCATTACAATAACATATAGGGGAAGCAGCCTCAGTATTCATATTAAAATTTGTTATTATACATTCAAAAAAGAAGTATGTAAATTGACCGTATCCAAATGCTTTTATTCGTTTTCAAATTTTTATTATACACTGTCCCCATTTCTTTCTACACACTAATTACAGTACCATTTATAGATTTGATTCAAACGAAATGACTGAACTATTAAATTAAGACACTTGATTGCTAATCAAGGCCTTTCATCTTGTGATTCTTGATGACAACTCTTTCTAAAAATGACTGCGGATCTCATGATACTATCTACCTCAAAAGAAATTTAAATGTTTAATAAATTGTCAAACAGGCAGCCTTAAGATTATGCAACAACTAGAAGGCCCAAGGCTATGAACCCAAAACATTGAACCCAAACCCCAACTAGAACGGTTACTCCTACCAATTAGAAACAGCCGTTGATAACTGGTCAGTATAGCAGTTAGCGATGAATGGAAGATGGTGATGACCTGATCACCCACACAATCAGTCCGGTTGTCGTGGCGGTGAAAAAAAAATAAAAAAGTAACTCATATTCTTTAGAAGTTCTTAGATGGTCGGGATCATAGGTTCGAGGACCAGTTTTAAGTCAATCACGAAACTACGTAAGTAAATGTGTCAATTTTATGTCACTTTGAATAAGCTTTTTTTTAATTTATTTTTTATTTATTTATTTTTTATGTCGCTTCGTGATTGGCCGAGATCAATAGTTTCAAGACCGCATAATAAGTTTTCCGTATATCAACGGTGTAACTTTTTTACGCGAAAAATTATTAGATGGTCCTGGTCCATTGAAACTTGATGAACCAATTCAATTTAGATTTTCTGATTAAGAAAATTAGTCCACAAGAGTGTATTAATATATTACAAAGAAATTTTAACAGCTAGTATGAATTAAACTGGTTAACCACGTGTCAAATGAACCATTGTAGATACAATGGTCTATCACGTGTCAAATGAAACATCGTAAATGCATGTAAATCATTTAATATTTGCCGAGCGAGTGTGACTCAACTCTAGTGTCAATCAGTACAAGCATTTATCATAAAATATGTCGAATATATCCTGTATTTGGCTTGAAGGGACCAAATACCCAACATCACAAGTCAAGATCCTATCCTATTTTTTATTTTATTTTTTAAACTTTCTTCCTCTCTCTCGTTTTTTTTTTGCTGTATGATATCAAAAGGTAAACAACAAGAAGCGTAGGGGCTTGGGTATACGTGTCTCTATGGGTTATTTTGCTGGGGACAAATGTCTACTGAAATCCACATGGTCTCACAAAGCTGGACTTTGGAAAATTTTAAAACTCTCCACCTGTAGCAAAAAAAATTCCCTTTTGCCCCACCAAAACCTCTTGTGTATGACCCATGTCAATTAATGAAAAAAACACCACATAACTAAATAATAGCACAAATGTCCCAAATGTGAAGCACCTCTTTGAAATAAATCAAGTAAAAACTATATAACAGAATAATTATAGAAAGCGAGCACTTGAAATGAAATTCAAGGAATATAATTTTAAATATCAAGTAATCAAGGATTTAAATGACAAAAATATAATGTTTAACCAGGTTGAGCACAAATATATTAAAGCGTAAGCAATTAAAGTTACTAACATATGAAAAGGACCTAATTTAAAATTTAAGGGTGTTACAGAATTTTCGTTGCAAAAAAAATATTTTTTAATTAAAAGCATTATAAAAATTGTAATGATTACATAATCCAAATCTATGATTTTTAGCTTTAAGCTTCTTGATATACCCCAAACACTACAACAACATTCATAAAGGTACAATCTATTGCATTTGAACTATGTACAACTCAATGTCAGTTTAAAAAAAAAAAAAGAAAAAAAAAGAAGAACAGATGTTAGGGTCCCAGTAAACCAACTATACCAAAATTTAAAGGCTGTCTACACACACACACACAAAATAAATATATATATATATAAATAAATAAAAATAAAACCTAGTATAAGCTTCTCAAGGCTGTCAATACACCCTTCCTGCTAGAGAAACCGAGTAAAGGCTGTTCTTCCTTGATCCCTTCTCCCTTATTCTTCGTTAAAATCCTTTATTCTTTGTAATGCCTCTGAAGGTATATTTTCACCATTTCGAGCCTACTCTTGGGCATCATTAGAGATATGATTATATGTGTGGGCGCGCTTCATACCATACCCCAACTCAAGTTTATATCCATCCTTCTTGCCAAGCATGCCAGCGGAAAATAGCTATTCCATTAACTGAACCATCACCCTTGGAAGCAGCTATTTGAGACAGTGCAATCCTCTCTTCCTACAAACATGGGTTACAAAGTCAAGTTGTTGAAAGAAGCAGAAGGAAACTAGGAATTAGCAAGTCTATTTTGTTATTACGATTAGACCATTATCATAACACATATACAGGTCCCAAGAAGTTTTAAAAGGGAAGAAAAAGGAGAAAAGGAAGGTCGTCAAATCCATCTCATCCATTTCAGCCCACATGTTCTCAGATTAAAATGGAATACAAATTATATTAACAATCCCCAGTCAGAATATGCAGCATGTCTCAGCTGTCCGGGCAAGCAAACAAACACGCAACTGATCAATCCAATGGAGTTCTACCAACACTTTGTTGGAAGCATTTGAACTAATACATTTTCAATACCATAGTATTTGAAGGGACTTTAAGTTGCAGAAAAATTCCTCAGTGAGTTATGTAAGTTTGATGTGATTCAGTAATCACAAATAAGAATGATTACACATCATTCTTTT